AAAGCAAAATATTCCTAAAATAAACTAATTTGTACCTTAAAATTCCTAAAAGAAAAACTTGACCGCACCAATTATACATATTTTTTAATTTCTATATTACTAAAATGTACATTTATCTAATCATTATTATCGATAACTTCGATCTTGTCACTGAACGTAACTGAATATTTTTTTTATTTGAAAACACACTGATAAAATAATAAAAAAATGTACTTATTACATACAAATTAAGAAAAAGGTTAAAAATTCATAGACCAGCAAAGAACAATAAAATAAAATGAAATTGTAAAAGGCATTTAAAATAAAAATTGTGGAACTAATGGTACTACTTTTTTAAAGTGCATGATTGTGGTTTCTCAGAGTTGAGTAACATCATTATAAGTCCATAATGGGATTTTGTCTTTCATTACCCATTTTTATTGCACATTGTATGTACAAAAAAATAATAAAAGTGATTTTAAATACAGCGTAAATCCTTAAACCATATAAGTATCATGGAATCAGTAATAACGAAAAACTTATCACGACATAAACATCATTTCAACTTTTTTGGCTTGTTTTATCACTTAGAACCCATATTCTGACTAATTGTTTGTAACTAAGACGAAATAATTCGATCAAAAAGGTTTCCTTAATCAATAAAGTATTTTTGAGCTATGTATTTATATACCACTTACGTATTCCATTGAATTTAAGAAAATGTACGAAAATCAGTCTTTGATTTCTCAAAAATTGTGTTAAATATTTATTGTTCTGCAAATGTTATTGCAATTTTTAGCAAACTTTTATAATTTTTATTTTTTAATATGTATTATTACATTTCATTTAGTAATTGTTTTTGAAAACTAACAACACATCCCGTTAAGTAGCGGCGTTTGTGGATACAGTTTCTTTTTTTTTTTAGGCGTTGTAAAATACCTACTTGAGTGTGGTAAGACATTGAGCAAGGTATACATTGATGAATGGAAATCACGAATATTTTTGTATTATGTATGCGTTCATTAAACTTCCATCGAATGATGAATAAAAAAACAGGCCAAATCCGATCGCTAACAGAATTTAAATTGCAATGGATCTCTCTATTCAACTACTGATTTTGCAGTGACGCTTATGTTATTAATGGTATTTACTTTTTAATTATTTACCTACTTATTGAAAAAATGTACAGGTTATCGCGTAAATTTTGATCAACAAGCAGGTTGCTAATTTGTAGATTATTGTAAATAACAACAATACGAATGAGTAAGACAAATTTATATATTATATATATGTAAATATTATGAAGCAACAATAAAGGTTGCAAAACGATTCCGGCAATTTTGAACTTATTATTTTAAGCTTAAACAATCTGTAAATAAATCTATATTCTAGAATTGAAATTTTGCACAGGAGATTCTGATAGTACAAAGGCGAGCATTTTTTAAAATTCAGCTTCTAAAGAGTTAAAATGGGGTTTTAATGATTAATATATCGGTCAAGATCTAGTTGAGTCAGAAAGCTTAAAGATTTCTTATACAATCGTATTATCCATTTTGTAATGTTAATACCACCGTTAAAATAGGGGTTTGCGACTTAATCGAATCCTTCCTTATAAAAGGATGTGATATTTGACAACATAAAATAATATAGGTACATAAATATTTAGTGATTTTTTTGTTGTTTGTTTTAATTAGTTAATTAAAAAAAAAACACTGATTCGTAATTACCTATTTATAATTTATGAGAGCAATGTTTTACGATCAGCACTAATTAAATTTGTTGTATGTAACCTAATAATCCTCACCGTTGAATTAATTGTAAGACAAGTGTTAATTATGAATAAAAATTTAATAATTTAAGTGTGGCCATTTATTATTTTTAATGTCACCAATACGAGACTAAAAAGTATATTAATTCAAATGCGTAAGCACATACAAGGATAAACAAATAAATAATTCCCATCGGCCTTTAAAAGATCATTACCAACGATCACATAATGAATAATTCGTTGCTCCTCTGTATTATTTGCCGGACCTTATGTTCCGGATCGTGCATTATTATTTCGTGAATCCTCTCAAAGAAATAATGACTTGCAAGGTCCACAGGTAAATGCCAACAAGAACATTTTCAGTCCTTAGTTCGTGATTACTGGCGTGCGTATAGTGAGCACAGTTGATTCAAACATCACATAATCACATAAGTGTATATTTGTACATTATAATTACATATTTTTTTATGACGCTGAATTTTCGAAGCTCAATTTGAGTACGTAAAGCTAGCCACCTAATTATTAACCACAATATGTTCAGCGTTTTCCTTTTAATTTACTATTATTATCATTATACAATTTGCTTGAATTTATTGTTACGTATTTCTATTTTTAAGGGTAATTTTCAATTTTAACTTGTCTCAATTATAATCTCTAACCACCGTCATAATTATTATCATCAAAAACAGATTTAATTAATTAATCTATTGTACAAACGTTGTACGTTGCACGCCAAATTAATATTGTGCAACTAATTAAATCGGATTGATGATTTCGTTGAAGAATAAAAATTCACTGTTTTATTTGAAATATTTAATTGAACTTCTATTCTAATCACTAAAAACTAAACTTNCGTAAATTTTGATCAACAAGCAGGTTGCTAATTTGTAGATTATTGTAAATAACAACAATACGAATGAGTAAGACAAATTTATATATTATATATATGTAAATATTATGAAGCAACAATAAAGGTTGCAAAACGATGCGTGAAATAATAACGTATTATTATGGAACTTTGTCGAGGATCCTCCATATTCCTCTAACAAATATAATTCTCATTACGAAATTGCCAAAATCGATGCAAATGCTTTTGTAATTGATAATTTCGATAGAATGCGACCAAATTTGGGCAGTTTCCAATCTAAGTAACTGCTTTATTTATTAAAGTTTCAGAATTTCTTATGATATCTTGCATAACTCCTGCATTATTACGAATTAGGATTAGAATTTTCAGGATTTCTCCTGGTTGTATACGAGGGCCAGATTACTGTAATGCTTTTTAAATTTCATGTATAACTCTAAACGTCTTGGGTTCCATGATGATATTAGTAAATTACGTACCTAGGCAGGAAAAGTACAGAATGTCTCAGATCGCATGTTTATTTCCTTCCCGGGTACGTATAGGTACTAGGAAGTGAAATTTTCTTGGGTAAGTGTTCAACAAGACAAAAATCGCAAAAATTTCGATTTGAGCAAAGTAATATTTTTCGAGTAGACAAATTTTTCGAATAATAATTTTCCGCCAATTAGTCGCTAATAATTTGTGAAAGAAAAACATTAATATTTTTTTATTTTTAAAAAATATTGCATGTTTTGCTAATTTAATATAAAGTTGGGGAAACACCAAGGCGATTGTTATTAAAAAATAATCTTTGACAACAATTAGCCTGAAAGGAATTTGCCGTTAATTTTCCGGGACAGAATTGCGACAAATAAAGTCTTGGCCCCTCTAGGGGTGTTTTGCTACGGATCTCGAATAGCTTCTTTTGCGAACAGGTCGGGAAATTTCATTATGGAAAATTCCCGGAGTCTACAACTAATTCGTCCGAGGTGAACGGTCAATTCTTACGAGTACCTAATTCGCGCGCGATAAATAAAGTCTTACTCCTTTCCTCGGGTGAATCCCTAAAAAATGACTTATATTTTGCGAATAGGTCGGGAAATTTTATCGCGAAAAGTTCCCAAAGTGCACAACTAATTCATACAGGATAATTATCACGAGTAATTTGCGCGCGATAAATCAAGACTTACAACCCCTTCCGGGGTGCTTTGCTAAAACTCAACAAAAAAAAATCCCAAAATAAAATTAATTCGCTCGGAATTTGCCTTTTATCCAAGGCGACGTAATTGTGAACTTTAGTAATTTTTCGCGATGAAATTTCCCGACCTGTTCGAAAGAGAAATTACTTTTTGGGGATTCAAAGCAAAATATTCCTGCAAGGTTGTAAGACTTCATTTATCGCACGAGAATTACTCGTAGGAATTGGCCGTTCACCCCGAACGAATTAATTATAGACTTAGGGAACTTTCCACAATGAAATTTCCCAACCTATTCGCAAAAGAATTCATTGTTTTAGGGATTTCAAACAAAACAGCCCCCGGAGGTGCTAAGGCTTCATTTGTCGGACTTTCTCGCATTGCCATTTTGTGAGGGAAAATTCCTATCAGGCTAGTTGTTCTCAAAAATTATTTTTTAATAATAATCACCTCTTTATATCAGGTTAACAAGATATGCAATATTTTTTAAAAATAAGTATGCAATATTNAAATTTAAATCTGTCGGGTACCAGCAGAGCGCGTATCCGTTTCATCTCTGTTATAAACCACAATTATTATTATTATTATATTAATAGATTATTTGTTAATAGCTTCAAATAGAAAACTATAAGAGTGCATCTGTAACTATGCTAGAACACAAGCGATAGGGAACTTTTTTTATGACTTACTTGTAACCTGCAAGAATATTGAGCAAGGTGCTTTTTCCTGATCCTGAAGGACCCAAGATTGCATTTAGATGTCCGGATTTAAATTGCCCACTGATACTTCTTAAAATTACCTTGGGACCTGCAATTAAAATGAAAAACATTATACCCAATATTTACAAAAAATTAAGTAATACTTGAACGATCAATGATTAATGTAAGTAATAATTCTTCCGGTTGTTATAATCACATTAAACACACAAAAGGAGAGACCGGCAGTGTTCAGACGAGATAAAGTCAGGGACAAAAGCGAAATTACAGAAAGGAATTTTTACAACAACTCTTAAACATTCACGCAATGGTACTTCGCAATTTGAACAACGAATTTTGCTCAATCATTAAAGTTATCAATGGCTTTTTATTATTAAAGGTAATTTAGCCGCTATAATTATACATATAGCACTCTGATTTATTTCTTATAGCTACAGTTTTAATGTACGAAATTTGAATGTCATTTTTAATTTACATTTGTAAAAATCTACTATATCCATAGTTAAACTTGATAATAACAAAAACGTTCGTAAAATAAAAGTAGAGTGATGATCACTGCCAAATTGCATATTGAATTTCAAAGTAGGGCTGACGTTCTTTTAGGTAAATTGATTTAATAGGGTACTTGATAAATTGAAATATATATATACCAACAGCATTCTTTTGTGTTAAACGATACATTTAATATCTGCCATAAACGTAAAAATGATGTCATTTTGTTTTTGCGTCAAATGAGTATTTGGTTTCAATTTTGCAATTGTAGCAATATTACAACAAAGAATTTTTTTATTTACGTGCGAAGTTTGAATATTTAAATTCTCATACAATTTCTATTGTCAAAAATGAATAACAAATGCATTCATAATAGCATGCAGATTTAAAATTAACAAAATACAAAATAGAATTGAACAGAGTACACACTAATATAATTTTATAAGGGTTATTTTTATCCTCTTTTATCTAATATAAAAGAAACACAAGCAAAAAGAATCAAGATCCAACGAAATTAGAATCGCATCATTATTTATTAGACGACACTTTTAATGAAAAAAATAATGTATGTAGAAAGCGTCATTTATTAACATCAGTATGTTAATACACTAATCGATATGGAAAAGTTTTGGATAGTCTAGTTATACCCCGGAGGCAGTGTTACGATATACCGGATGAACTAACAAATACGGAGATAGGACCAACAACAAATTCGATAATTTTAATAAGTAGCATTAATAAAATTAATGTGTATTTGTTTATATAAACTTATGAGATACTGTAATACATATGTATTAGTGGACAATAAAATACATTAAAAAAATGTAGACTAAAAATAGGTACCAAAAGGACTCGCGCCTTGAATAGGTCCTTGCACCGTTGTATCATCGCAGGAAGCATGAAATTTTGCAAGTTGCGTTATAATTTCACACGGAATTAAAAGTTAATGCTTTTTAGATTTTGATTGAATAATGAGATTGTGCATTTTCAGTCTGATTCTAGGTAAAACAATCATCTCGCCAAGGTCGTTTATTTTACCTTGGTGTTATAGCTATAGTAAGTCATAAGTACCTTTTCGGGTAAAAACTGTGAGACGTATTTTCAAAAATTCTATCGAAATATCGTGCACCCATTTATCTTCAGCTGTACAGGATATAAATATCACACTGTATATTAAAAAAGCGTTTTTGTGTCATTAGAGTAAACGCAGAAACCGTTAATTTATACTACGTGTGTAGCTATAGGTTTAGTGAGACGTTCTAATTAATACGAAGTCAGAAGTATCTTTAAAATTCATGTGTTAACAACAGAATAAATTACTCGGACAATGAACCTTTATATACATATGCACAGAAGTATTGACACATAAAATAAAATTACCTTTGCTTTCCCGGTATTTTACAGCACTAAATTGTTAAAGATTTATAGGTAATAAAATTCAGAGGAGAATAATATTTATATGTGCTATTACTATTGTCTTAAAGTAGGTTGGTAGAATTCACGATTTTCTTTAACGTTTCTTAATTTTAATGATTTCCTTTCTTATTTGAAGACCATACCTCAAGGGGATTCCATCCCCATTAACGTCCCTCAAAAGTTTTACTAAATTGCATTTATTTGACATATCATCATCATAAGGTCGTCAGTCCTAAGACTGGTTGGACACGTACCTCCACTCTTACCTATCCTGAGCTAAACTTCGCATTTCCTTAAAACTAGAACAGCCCACATCCTCAACTATTTGCGAACAGTAATCTAATCTAGGTCTACCTCTCCTAACTCCTGTTTCTGCCTCTAATATGTCCCTGACTAGACCTTCATGCCTGAGAAGGTGTCCTACCAACCTATCTCGCCTATTTTTTATTGACTTCCAGAGAGTCCTTGTTCTCCTATTCTTTCTAATACCTCTTCATTTCTAACCTTTTCTACCCACGATATCCTCATCATCCGCCTATAACACCACATTTCGAACGCTTCTAACCTTTTCTTTTCCGCCGCGCCCACTGTCCATGTTTCGCACCCGTACATATATTGCTTTTTTATACCTTTATATAAAAAGGTTGCTAAAGGCATTTCTATATGAATTTTTTTATACCACGTCGTATTTATAAAAAGATGATGGCCTCCCTTGATGATTTCATGTAATAAAAAATAGAATATCCTTATGGTTGTCACCGGTGTATATGTGTTTTTATACGTAAGTATACGTATTTAAATTATGTCATTTTAAATTTAAATTTTGCATAATTTATTGGACAGAATTGTAATACAAAGTCAATAGACGACAACTTTGAAGTTTTAAATAAAGTAACTGAGGCAAAAGCCAGCTGTTAGTAGGGGGTGCATGCAGGTATAGGGGAAGATAAACTTCTAGGTGAAGACAGGTAGAAAAGAAACAAAGGCATGCACAAGATGGGTAGGAAATTGAATTTGACAAAAATATTTAACTCAACAAAAATTTATATCAACAAATCATTTAAATTAGCCGTTTAAAATTGATTATTACTGTTAATGAAGACAATTTTTCAAAATCTTATTAAAGATGTACCGAGAAGGAGAAAATTAAAGACTAATTGTAAGTGAGCAAGAGTGCTTTCTAACATCGTACTTTTTAAAAATTTATTGTTACTTAAATGCAAAAATTAGGTGTACTATCAGACTAACATTAAACGTATTTCTACGGCCTAAATGCCCTCCTTGTAGAGCCTCATCAATTGTAGCGACGAAACAGGAAGTCAAACCGACACAAAGCGTTAACTAAAAGCTTTGAGATACCCGGGCTTGTAAAAATTTTATTATAGGTATAAAAATGATTACGCCTTTTTTGAAAAACGCATTTCAACAAATAATTATAAATTATAACTAATCGTAAATATGTATGAATTATTGATAAATAAATTTTATTACACATTTGTTAAATGTGCTCCAATTATTACAGTCAAGGATGCTGCATGCTGTTTAATATTTCACTACGTTAACGATTCGTCAGACTAAAAATAAATTCAGTGGGCAGTAGGCAGATCTTCTACTAGAATGAATAAACGCTAAAAGGTCCGTGTATTTTTTTTTACTGAAAAAATACAAACAACTACGATATTTTCTATACCTTTATTACCTATAAGTGTATTAGAATGTATAAAATTTACAGATATGTATGTAGGAGACGTTGCGAAAATGTACAATATTATCTCATTATAATTCTGAACAATAGAATTTTGTTGTTCTAATTTGAATTGAATACTAGTGACGTAGCCTCACCTTTTCTTCCCTGGGGCACGCTGAAGGTTAGTTCTTGGAAATCGATGTTCACCGGTAGTCGTCGGGGTAGGTGCGTCAATGCGCGTTTTTTCACCCGCAAAAGACTACCCTCTTCCATTATTAATTCGCAATTCTAAAAGAATACGTTTCGCAACCGTACTTATAGGTACTGTTAATAATATTACCATTTACTGTTCAGTTTCTGTTTCACGATCGTCCACGTTCTAAATAACAGCGATTGTAATAACGGTTCACTTTAGTCGTTCGTACATTACAAAAGCACGCCGTTTACGCGTTTACTCACCAACTGAATCATAGATATACTGAATGCTTGGAGATTATTTTATGATTAGCAGCCCCTCTCTCTTGTTGGAGCGCGCTTTGTTTGTGTACAGTACGTAAATGAAGTTGTAAATGTGTATTGTTTAATCATGGAACAAATACATGTTTATGTTATAAATCATTAACGAAATAATACTCTAGATCAACGGTCGGCAACTGGTGGACCGCGGTCCAGAAGGTTAAAAAGTGGACCACCAAAAATTTTTTGAAAGCAAATTACTCGAATGAATTATTTAAAAGATATATTTTTCTGTATATAGCGAAGTATGTTTGAGCTTTTAGCGTCACCCTTATTATTTTTTGGAGGAAGGAATACGTTTTTGCTGAGCGTCGATAAAAATTTTCAGAAGTATCCGGAGCCCACCTAAAATTACATGCCAATCCCTAATTTGAAATCATTTTTTCAATTTTTTATTTACCCACTATAAACTACCTCAAATTAATGAGGGATTCGGTTTCCGGCGGGGGTGTGACAACAGCAACAATTTTTCCCTCATTAATTTGAGGTAGTTTGTAGTGGGTAAATAAAAAATCTAAAAAATGATTTCAAATTAATATTGCATAACTAACAATATCACAGGATTTCATGCCAATCCCTGTTCTAGATATGTACGAACAACTGCAGAAGGCTTCCTGCAGATGTTTCCGTAAACTTTTCTTTTGTTTACTATCTTCAGATAACGAGAGCGTCATGACATGAGCTTTTTTACAATACTCATTTGTTACATCAGACATCAGACCGTTTTTAAAATAGTATTACAGCTATTAGCTGATTAAGATACGAACTAAAAAAATGCTCTTGTTTCTTTAAGAGACTTTTATGTAAAACCTAAATAATTGGTATCCACTCATCCTCAGCAGACATTAAGTTTAAAACCCTATGATTAGAATTAGGTATCTGTTTTTCTATGATTTAAAAAGCAATTTCTTTAACTTTTTTTCATATCGGTAGGTACTAGGTCATTCTAAAGTTTTTTCAAATTGTATATAAATGTAGGTATCTTACAATTTCTCTGGTTCAGGAGTTACTGATAGCCTTTAAAAAAATGGAAACCTTTGGTATGAAAATAAATAAAAGTATTGGTATGTAACTATGTAAGGGTAGTAAAAAAAATGGTTATCAGAGCTAATGTAAAACTAGGAGACGAAAAATTAGAAAAAATGGCTGACATTTAATAGTTAGGCTCAAGATGAAAAAAGCGTTAGAAATAGGTATAAAACAAACAAAAGCGCAGATTTGGGTAGCTCTTAACAAAAAGAGATCATTGGTTTGCTTGCAAAAAGGGATAAGTTGGAAATTCAAAGAAAATTATCAAAGGTGTATGTTTGGACCACGGCTCTGTGTGGTGTGAAACTTGGAGGTATTAGAAACAGTGGGAGAACCGATGACGCGATTAGTCATTAAGAAATAGACGAAGCATGAAGGGCTAGTAGATAGTAGAAGCACAAACAGGAGCAAAAAGGGGTAGATGTAGACCTAGATTATATTACTGTTTGCAAATAGTTTAAACTCTAGTCTTCTAAATGATGATTGACTCAAGATACGTAGGAAGAATTACAGCTACGTGTTTAACCAATCTTCGGAAGAGAGTAGATAAATGATAATGACGATGATAATAATATAATTTTAGTTGGACACGCACCTCCATTTTTTCCAATCCTGAGCTAATCTTCGCATTTCCCTAAAACTAGAATATCCTACATCCTTAATTATTTGCGAACAGTAATCTAATCTAGGTCTACCTCTACTCCTGTTTCTGACTTTAATTAATTAGATCTTCATGCCTGAGAAGGTGTCCTACCAACCTATCTCGCCTATTTCTTTTTGACTTCCATAGAGTCCTCTGTTCTCCTAATCTTTCTAATACCTCTTCATTTCTAACCTTCTCTATTATATAAAAATATTTTCTGCCTTTTGAAATATTTTCCACTGTAAAGTATTTTCTAAAAATCAAAATTTTATCGCTGAACCATTAATTGATAGATGATATTTATGTTTCCAAAACAAACTGACAATAAGATAATAATTAATTTTGGAAAAGTAACGTTATTATTGTAATTGAAGAAACAATGCGGTATGATAACAGGCATATCATAATAAATATTATCTGTAGCTATTTGCGAAGAGAAAATTTAACGTGACAGCCCGTGATAGTAACAGTGTTGTTATAAGATATTCTGTTACTATAATTAGTTCTCCGCATCTTACTTTTAAGATTCCGGCTCAGTAGTTTCTAGGTATACTTGAGTGGCCACTATCCAATGTCTCAAATCAAGGGTCTCATTATAATCTATGAAAGTATGGAACTCTTTTTTCATCCATATTTTATAAAAAAAAAAACTTGTGTCATTAATTACAGCCATCCAACAAAGAGTTAGATCCTGCGTCTTGGGCAAGTTTTCAATAAATTTTTGTTTCGCCACAGGTCCCTTCGCCAGCAGGAGTTTAATAAAATTTATTGAGATTTACATAACTACCTTTATTTTCATTATTATGAATCTCAATCAAGTATCGATATACGTTTAAATGATAGTTCACTGTATTGTTAGGATTAGTGAATGTACAGAGATCGATTTTTTCAAATTGTGTAAGTATAGATTATCGTTAAATATTTGGCTTATCATGCCGTCTACTATATATTCAGTTAAGACACGTATTATTTTGGACTAATAATTAGCTATAATCTTATCGGCACTCATTAAAATTTCATTCTATGCTTAAATGGCTCAGGCGTTTAATTTTCGTGTAGAATTTAATAGTTAAAAACAGTGATTATCGAATAGTTTTAAGTTCAATACACATATAAAAAACCTGATCGTGTGTTGAAACAAGGAATTTTTTATTTTTCGCTCCCAACACTCACTTTGTTTGTACAATTGAATTAACTAGTTATTTTATGGTTAAATTAGTTCAAGTTATTTCCAAAATAATAAATATTACCAGTCTAATGTAGGTTAAACTCTGTCGTCGTCGCTTATGTAACTTTGTAGTATTTGGTTCAAAGTAAGAAAACAAAACAAATTAATTTTTATCAACTAGTACATCATATTCGTGACAGTGTGTATGATAAGTAAAACATACAAATAAAAATAGTAACGGCATCGATCACTCCTCATTCACACTGACGATTTTGAGATTTTGCCATGACATCTGTCCTGCCACAGTATTTTATCTTTTCGGATAAAATTACGTTAACATCGATGAAAAAGCAAAATAAAATGTCTTACAATTAGTTTTATCAAAATCAGTTTTTTACTTCACAACTTTAAAAGCTCATCAAGCAATTGCCGCAAAAATCGCCTATATTTTCACCTTCAAATTTTGTTTTAAACTAAGTTCTAAAATATTGTTAATCATGAGAGTATATGNTGAAATTTTTATTGCTTTAACCGAATTTTCGATACTGTTTGATATTTAATGATTATATCTATCAAGTGTTTAACTATAGTTAGTTACTTTTTTGATGGACTAAGTGTGAATTTCTGCCACGCGGGGCAAAACCTAAATTTGCCGCCCTTCCTATTTTCATTATTATGTAAGCTTATTTATTTAATTTGGTCGGAATTGCAGTGAGAAGGTGTACACATTACATTTTCAATTAAGCCTTCAAGGAGATTGAAAATGCGTGAGCATATTTACAAATAGCATCCTTTACAAACCTATTGAGGCATGTTCGGGGATTCCCCAAAATAACTGATAAAACGCTCACTCGCTCTCACGCGGTGTTTTATAGTTAAGTTAAAAATTTAAGAAAATATGCAGCTACAAGTGTTTACGTAAGTAAAGGGGGTAATAGCTTTGTTTACCTTTGCAAAGGGAAGTTAAAATTGCTAAAATTCGGTTGATATAATACCTGAATGGCTTCTAAAAGTTAAGTCGCTTGTATTCAAAAGGAATTTTATAAGATTTGTAACAACAAAATAATAAATTTCAATTCAAAATGTGTTAATTTAGCGTACTTAATAAGGNGTTATAAGCCCTTCTTATATAAAAATAAATAAAAAGTCTGGCGTTCTAAATGCCCACAGCCGAAGTGGGAAGTAGGAAAAATTAAATTGTGTAGTGAGGGAAAATCTTTTTATGATTTTATCTATTCCTTATTAGCCCCCTCTTTTCTGTTTAGTACCGTTTCACATCGCAAAAATCAATTGTAGAATCGATAACCTATTAAAACATCTGCTGGGGACTAAAAATGGGCCTCTTTTATATCGAGGTTCCGATGTTTGGCCAAAGGGTATACCCGGATTTGTATGGTAAATCTGTCCCCACGGTTTTTGCCAATTGCACTTGGGAAATTGATTTGACATTAAATAAAGATAATTCAGCTAATTTTTTTTACCTGAAACAATTTTCCAGATTTTTTAACAACACAAAAAAAATTTGGAATTTTTATGAACCAAGAAATTAAGACATTTAACAGCTAACATTACTGCGAGATATTTTTACCCCGCCCGGTGCCCATGGCCCCCACGCTACGCCACTGGGACTAACAATAAAAAGAGAGAAACATCTCATTCTTAATTAGTGTAAGCAAAAAAAAAGTATTCGTTCCTTTGGATTTTGTTACTAGTTAGTTCTTTCACCTTTCACTTTATAAATATACGTGACTATAAACAGTATTGAAAATTTGTTATTATACTAATAACGACTTTTAGACAACTGTTATGACACAGAGCACCCTAATCGTTACATTTTGTAATCATTTCTTATGAATACGCGGAAATACATGTTCTAATTTTAAACGATACTTATCAAATAGTAAACAACTAGTATATTTACCTAATCTTATTTCTTTTATTTACGAAAATTATTTAGATTAGTAGGTAGGTATGCATATAATTAAAACAATTTCATTAATAGAGGGAAAATTATGGAAACTCTAGTAGATCACCTCTCATGGTAAATATTGTTCAAAGGAAATTGTATATATGCTGCTCCGCTTTTGTATCTTGACATCGATTGCAAAGCACTTAATTTTTTTCCCTATCTAAATTAGCACTTAGAGATTAGGAGGCCATCAATATTAAGGGCTTTTTTGAAAGTATTTTGTTTAATATCTATCTAGGGTGGTATATACCTCTATTTACTGATATTTGTTGCCAATTAAAGTATTTCACTGCCCATAGCGTGCTGATGAGACTAAATAAGTAATATCGAAAGCGCGATCCGCGTCTGATAGTTTTAATAAATTACTAGTCAAGAACTTGACCTTTATGATGTAAGACTTAAACTTGACTCTGTACTTAAACGACAAATGATGGATACAAAAATGGTTTATTACATAATAGAAAAAGATTTATAAATAATTTCATATGGTCCCTTGTCCAAAATACCGAAAATACACGTCACAACGAGCTGTGAACATAGAAATACATCTACAAATTAAGTTACTTGAGTTGTTTTTATTCTAACACTTTTTGGTTTGCTCCATTGAAACTCTTTTTAGTACCCACATAATAAGAGTGAATCAGGGCAATTTGAACTAACTACGACGTAACCATCAAAAGGGGCATTTTTTGGTTTCTGAGGGTTAGGTTACGGTTACTTTAGGTTGCCCTTATTCTGTATAATTTTCTAATATATTTAAATCGGAAAAGGGTTTTGCGCATTGAAACGTTTCATCGAAATATATCCATGTTCGCAACCGATTTCGAACTGCTCATAAATTACCATGGATATATTACAAGGTATAAATTCGTCCTAAAACATTAATCTACAATATGGCACACTCTTGGTATTTACGTATAATGTTAAACTAAACTATTGTACCTTACACATTTCATACGCTAATTATAAAACAGTCCTCGACCTTTGCGTCGTCTATACCCACTTGTAATGAAATAGTTAACATGATTTATACTTTCTTTTTTTGACATATCATGTTCAGGATTAAAAATTGAAATTTATACTTTTGAAAGCGAATGTCTACACTTAAACCGATATTGTTACCTCCAGTTGCAATTTTTTTTAACAGAAACAATTTCATTTGAACGATAAATTTTCCTAAAACATTATTTTCTCTTAATTCTTCCTTTTTATTGTACATAGTATTACGAAATTTATTTACAGTAGATAACTTCAACATTAATTTTAGGTACCTTTTAGGTATCTGATCGCTAAATTTATTTAATCTAAAACAAGGGCATTTGTTAGAGTACCTATATGAAATTTTTATTGCTTTAACCGAATTTTCGATACTGTATTTAAAAGCAATGCTTTATAAATTAACAAACTTTAAAAATGACTACAAAAAGCAATTAGTAAATGTTTATGCAGATATATATTTAAAAAGCTTTTTAGATAATACGTAAAGAAATGTGACAGGTAACAAATTTCATGGATAAATATTTTTCTGTAATCTAGGCATAAAATCTTTTTCAGGTTTTTATATACGTACCTGTACCTAAGTGTTTATATTGTATATTTAAAGAAACATTTATATTTTTAATTAATAAGAAGTAAATGTGCGTGTCCAACCTGTCTTCGGGCTGAAGACCTTATGACGATGACGTAAAAAAATTTGACAGGTAATCTTGGCATAAAATCTTTCTCAATTCATGTGTGATTTTTTTAATTCTGTGCGGAGTTTGAAATGTTCCACGTGCTAAATTAATTTGGTCATAAAATTACAATAATATATTACATTTTTAAGATATCATACTCGCACTTCCACTCTGTTTTTCTACCTATTAATATTAAATTGTCGTTTGCATCTACAAACGATTAAATTCATTGTGTGTAAGTATGTAACATTACTCTTAAATTACTTAAACGTCCGCTTTCAATCATATTATTCGGGGATTTTCGTTACTATGTAAAACGTAGCAGTTACTTAAATCGACTTCAGTTATTTCTTCGTAAGAATAAGAGTTTCTTGGTGATATCCCATGATATGTACTTGACCAGTATCTAGCTTAAAGTTAAAAAGCTTAAAGCTTAAGTTTCTTGAATGCAGGTGGTCATTAGGAACTACTGTGAAACTTACGACAACTCTGATGTAACGTCAGTTTTAAATAGTTATTCGGACTTGTGCTTTAAATTTCAGTTATAACGGCAACAGACGGTATAAATTCATATTTTTAATGCTGCATAACCTTGAAACAGACAGTCAAATAAAAAATCGCTCACAATTTATTTGTTTACATTTACATTTATTGCTACTGCCAAAAGAACTGTATAGTTAAATAGTGCAAAATGTGTTTCTGAAATTGTCTAGTTTGTAAATTCGTACCGTATAAACAACTTCTAGTACCTCGTGAATAACGACACTAGGTTGTAATGTCCAAAATAGTAACACTCCCTAAGGCGACACTATAACCGATTTCTACTTTAATTTTACACAAATAAATGCGAGAAGATGATATTAGTTTAGTGACAATCAAATATCTGGAAATTCATTTAAGACAATGTAGAAAAGGTCAATAACTGCTTGTTTAAAGTTGTTTCCGAAAAGATTACACCTTTTAATTATTTATTTATTGGACGATTTGTTATTTTGAAAATTAAAAACTATTCCACGCTAGTTCAGCATATAAAATGAAAATTGAGTATTTAGTAATTAAGATAATGCATATATAAGTCGATATAAATAATGATTTATTAATAATAGTTTTAATATCAAACGAATAAAACGAAATGTTGATAATAAAAATGGATACTATTCCGTGATTTTATAACTAATTAAAATGTTGCTTATTTTCTCATTTGATTTAGACAACATAAAGCTTTTTGCATTATCGCAGTGAATTTTGATATGCACGAAAACTAGTAAAACATCCATCATCAAACTATAGCAGTTGATTTTTGATGTTGTATGTATGTATGTTTTAATACTCGGTGGACTCTGTTGTATGAATATATTAAGTGCTAAGCGCTTGATTAATATTTGTTTACGCACTTGTGATTATTTAATTTTAAATGCATCTAATTAAAATATTAGAATTTTCAGGAAATAAAAACCCAACTAAAAAATACATTTTATTTCTACATAAAAAATATAGTATAAAAAACAAACTTAATTCTATTCAACAAAATAACACGTTTTTTTTTTAAACTACGTAAATGTGACACAGAAACGCGTAAATGTAAATAATAAAAACAGAAATATCAAAAGCAGTTTTTGTAATATTAAAGACAATCTTTGGTTTTATACAAGCTTTAAATAAAACCGGAATGCCACAAAACATTGCAGTTTTATATATGAAGTACACAAAAAATAAAAAGTCAAACGTGTATTTTAACATATTAGACTCTTATGTATTCCTTTTTGATTTTTTGTTTCTTATTACTTTCTATTTTTACAACAAAAAAACTACAAAGGCACTGAAACAAACTCCTAACAACGTGTACACTCCAAGCCCTGCCAATCAATTTCTGCCTTCCTTGCAGCGAAATGTTTCCCGTGTCGGTATAGTGCAAGGGATAACCGAACATTCTTTCAATTTCTGTTATCATTAAAACATCCGGAGTGTTATCTTCATTTAAAACTGCGCCTAATAAACAACCACAGTTAATTTCCAGTGTATAACGACAAATAAAGTGTATTGAACAAATAAAAACAATACATAAAAGGAAATTGTTGTTTCCAAATGAAATTTTGTGTATTTTATGCAGTTATTCTGAAATTTTAAATTTGATTCATTTTGTGTCGACGTTTCGCCAACTACTGTGACTGTCTCAGTGCAACCATAGCGAAGGACATTACGGCCTCGTTACGTTCTTTGAGGATACTAACAACAGTAGTTGACGAAACGTCGGATAAAAGACTGCTTCGGGTTTTTCACCGAAAAGAAACAATTCTAGACCACAGTAATCACGTTAAAATATCAAACATTGTTCGGGCAGTGAAAGCCTGACTGTTTTGATATCCTTTTTGACTGTAAAAGCTTACGTTTAAACCGTTTAAAATGATGTCTTTGTGAATTATCATGTATTAGTTATCTGCATTTAAATATAGTTGATATTCTTTTACCTTTTTCTAATGAGTTTCTGGCTGTAGTTAGACTGTTCACTTTCCGTAAAGTTGCCGTTCTGCCCGGCATTAAATAGCTTTGAAGACACGGTCCTTCGTCGGGAAATTCATTTTGCGAGAGCGAAGGAAGGTTCCCCCAAAATAAGCGGGCTCTCTTGTGGGCTGAAAGTCGTACTGAATCGCACAATTTTGGTTCGCAGCCCAAAAATCTACGGCAAAGCGAATTATGGCTAAACATATGTTTATATTGTTTTTGATCAATTTTAATTAATATGCCGAAAATAAAGCAAACATACCTTGTTATGATAATTCTATAATCAATACTCATGCTTGCTACATTTTCATACAACCAAAAAAACGGTTTCCCATTTACTGCATTCAGTGTAGTTAGAACACGATGAAAATCGAAAAAGAGAATTCCTGTTCCCGTGGGATCTGCAGAATTCATTTATACGTGTTTAAATGAATAGTACGTATAGTCTTTTTACGTGTTTACCGTATAGTCCTTTTCTGTTTGGGTTTACAAAACTTAAGTCATTGCAGGGAGATCCCCCTATTAATAAGTCTATGGGACCTAATTTTTTAATGGCTTCCTCGTTTAAATCTCTGACATCCCCCAAATGCGTCACCCGTTCTCCAAAATTCATTTTAAGAACCGAAATTGCATTCTTATCTATTTCAACTGAATAATATTTTTCAACTGGCAGTTGTAAACTATCTAATGCTAAAAGACCTAATAGAAAAGAATAACGTTGAGATTGAACAGCATTAGTTTTTTTTATATAAGCACTTCATACCAGTTCCAATACCGTCAAAAAGAGACAACACTCTTAACTTTCTTCTTTTTGTAGTAATTTCAGGAATAGGTGTAATTTTACTTTGAGTTCCAACAAACATCAATCTGATCTGTTAAAACAAATTATAAAGTGTACATAATGGCAGGCCGGACTTGCCCCTGGGTAGTGATCGCTATCCATAAAGGGGTCAAGTATGGGCCAAACCGGGCAAATGAAATTAAAGTAAATTAATAATCACAAATGCGTAAATTGATTTAACTGTCCTTGGCAATTCACTAAAAAAAGCTTTAAAACGTTTAAAGTGTGGTGTTTTAGATGCTTGGGTTACGAGGTTGTCAGGTATTAAATGCGGAGATTATAGGGTTTAAAGCGCTTATGTTTAGAAGCTTTTGACTATTTTTTAAATGGTTGGAGGCCAAATTTATTTTATACCGAACATTAGTCAATTCAGCCCTGCATATGATAGTCTAAAAATGTTTTAGAGTTGAATGTTAAGCAGAGGTGCTAGATAAAATAAAATTGCTTAAAAACGTCAATTAAAAAATTAATTTATGTAAATAAGTTTACCCTTTCTTGCCAGTCACTTCTTATCTGAAGAACATTGCTTACATTCTTAATATCGCTTGGATCGCAAACAAGGCAACGCCACATTTTTTGTTTTTCAATATATGTTTCAGCATTCGACTTGCCCAAATTTTGCAAACATTTTCTGCAGAATACCCTGCAATTAAAACGTTATGTACGCCTAAAACTAAAACGTGTTCAATAATAACTAAATAGTTATCTTAAAATACCTTCCACATTCTTCCACATCACACACTAGCATATCTCCAAGAGTAGCGCAAATCAAACAGTAGTACTAAAATTAAGTATTAGATATGATTTAATCCAATTGATAATAATAGTCAAAAATTTACTTTTAAAAATTACTTGTACACACTTACCGCGATGTTATCATCACCTATTAGGAACGCCGTGCTTCTAATTCTTTCCTAATTTTGCAATATAAAAATTATGAAAATCGCTTTTTACATGTACCTATAAATAAATAAAAATGACCTACCAAACAATTTTTACAAACACCGGCATAAAATACCGGGTGTTCGCTTTCAATTGCTGTAGAATAACAGCATATGCAAATACTGTCTAAACATATTTCACGTCTTTTTATTTTGTCTATTAAATCTGGAAAATAAATCCATCTGTATTGTTTTTATCAAGTTTCATTTCTATAAAAAAAATTGTTAAGTACCTTTTTCTTCATATATTACTTGACTTCTTTCAAAGCATGAGTTTGATTTAATGTTCTCATCCCTATGTTTATTTAATTTTTCTTTTACAAGGTCAGGAACCCCTAAAATGATTTTTATTTGTTTTTTGGAAGTGTAATTGCAATTAACGCTTATATTAAAATTGTTTATCAAACAAATTTCCTTAAATGCTTTTTTCTATTTTATAAAATAGCACTTAAAATATGTATTTATTAATAAGACAGAACAAAAGTAGATACTGATTAACTAAAAATTCATTATATACAGTATTTTTAATTGTACTTTCATAGTAATATTTTGTTAATAACTAAAAAACTATGAATATACATATATTAATTTTAAATAAATAGCAGATCATCCTTCTTTGCTAAATTTTTCTTTTATATGTTTTTTTTTTAAATATATTACTACCAATGTATTCATATGACATAGCTGAGTGATTCTTTAAGAATCCACACAATGCCCAATCAATTAATTGATCATTATTCCAACTGGCTGTTGTTATGTTTCCATAATCCTTTAAAGAAAAAAAAAAAAACAAAAGTAGTCTACCATTTGATTTTGCAGATTATTTGTTAAAAATTGATTAGAAATTCACTCATCTGCATTACCTTCAGTGCTTCCAAAACTCCTTGTTTCCATAATTTAGGTAATTTATTTCTATTACTGTTTGTGTACTTTTCATAAAAGACTGCAAAACTTTCTTTAAATGAACAAATGTTTTTAAAATGCACCTTAAAGAGATAAGTAAAAATATGATTAGAAATTTAATAATATTTTTAATACTGAATATATTATATATGTACTTCAGTAGCTCTATAATCTCCAAACCAAAACACCCAAAAATGTTCTAACTTTGGCTTTTTGAAACCTCCATCAGTATGACTTATGATAACACCTACAATATAGAATATTGTAGTTCTTGAGACTATTAGAATCATTCTATAACACATCCGAAATTAAAAATTTAGTCTTTTACCTGGCCACCATCTTCCTGCATTTCTAGTTGGTCGAGCCCAAACAAATTCTCCGGCTTCCCAATTTGTACTTATTTCGTTAAATTTTCTTTTTTTAATAGACATTATTTACACGCATAAAACATATGAAAAATAAAAAAACATTCACACCTACACGACAATTCTTCGCGTCCAAACAAAAACTTGCGTCATCGTTACCTCATCGCGTCTTAGTTTGTTTATTATTTTGACGATGTTTTAAATGAGGGCATTAGGGGATTTCTTTGTTTACTTTTTTTAAATATTGTGTTTTAAACCATACACCACACATCACAACCTCGTAAACTTGGTTTTCTATATTTAGTTTCTAATTAAAAATAAAAAACGAAATAGTCTTAAATGTCAATATAAGTAAATAATTCTTCGAGATTATGGAAAGCGGAAAAGATATTAGAGTTATATCAATACCAAATATGATTAACTTAACGACGTTTCATACATTTTTATAAAGACTTCTTCACATTCTAAAATTAACTTAGCTTAATTTTTAGTCTACTTTACATGTTGAAGAACCATTCTTAATTTAATTAATAAGTTTTGTCTCATTGCCGTGCGTACTTGTATCAAAGATATCAGTTGTTAAAATTTAAGATTAATAATTTTTAGAAGTACTAGACAAAAATTGTCCGAATTCAAAATGATTACTTTTTCTAATAATAGGTACAAATATCTAAGAAATTGCAGTCATGAAAAGGCAACTTTGAATAGAGTTTAATTTACGGATTATTAATTGACAAAATATTTTGAAATTAAATTAATCTTTACATCACATCAAAAATCAATATCATCATTTCTGCTTTTAATGTCCCTAACTAGCCTTTCATGTAAAGATGAGCCTGGCACCCGGTTTGGAGTCGGACAGATAATAACACCGGGTACCCGGTGGTACTGGATAATTCTAACAGCGAAAAAAGAAAAAAAACACCAGCAATTTAACTAAAATTAAGTTTTGAAAACTGAAAATTATTTTTGCTGCGTTAAAAATCCGGAATTTTACCAAAACTAATGGCAGAAAAACGTTCTTAAAATATTTTCATTGTTTTTGCTGTACATGCTTTATATCAGTAATTTTATGACGTGTAAAGACATGTTTTTTCACTGAAGTAAAAAAATAATCTTTTGATTGTTTCCTTAATAGGTGACGTGATACCAAGGAAGAGATAAAAACATTTCAAATAAACATTCGAAAGTCAATTACTAATCAAATAAAACAGTTTAACAAAACCATTAATCAACTGCGTAAAAGCTTTATTATTTGATAAATTCCTTCACTAAAAGCATGTTTGACAACAGTGTTATTTAAAACAGATTAGGTAATTAAGCAAAGTTTGCAAATATGGTAATTATGCAAAAAATAATTAGTAGGAATGGGTCGGTTACCCAGTTTGAATTCGGTACTCGGTGTATCCTTTTTAAGGATCCGGCTGGGTAGCGGATAATGACGTCCAGTACCTATCAGTACCCGATAATTCTACCAGAGAAAAAAGAAAAAACCAACAGCAGCAATAATAATTTAATAAGTATAATAAAAAACCTACCTAACAGAATTGGTAATTAAGATTGTATTGGGATAGGTCATTTGTTCTAATTCGCATTATTTAATGATTACTATACTAAATTATTTGTTATTTCGTTAGTTCTTGTGTTTACTTTTACTCGTGAATAAAAATGCAACACTATGTGTTGTTATTCCTTTTTTTTTTGTTAGTGTCCGCTGCAATTCCTACCTGACATATCTCTTCTATGCTTACGATATTCCCTACAACGTCTGTCGTGAGTTAAAGTGATTAAATGTAGGCGTTCTGTCAGCAACCACTTTAGTGTAGTTAAATAAGTTGATAGAAGAAAATAAATGCTACTCCTTCTACGTTTTCTAATATCTCTTCGTTTCTCACTCCTTTTTATCCACGGTATTTTTGACATCCTCCTATAACACCAGACATCAAACGCTTCTTGCTTTTTCTTTTTCGTAGCACCCACTGTTCACTTTTCACACCCATACAAAGCCGTGCTCGAAACATGAGTACGTCTTTAGCAAAAACCAACTGAACTTTTGCTATTCTTTGTTTTATATCTTTAGCATCTCATATTACTAAAAAATTATTAATTACAATTTAGTGGTAGATTATGTTTACTCGTTTTGTTTTTTCGAAAAACTTCGACAAGAATTTTTTTTTTAATATTTCCGTTTATTTTCAAAATCTGCTTGGGACATGTCAAAAACAAAAAAAGATCAAAAATAATCTTAAACAACGATATAATTTTATTTAGGGCAATACAAAACTGTACAAAAATATAAATATAACATCATGCGAATACACATAAAGTTCTCATGATGGGCAAGTTTTTTGATTTGTCGCAACAATTTTTGTCGTTCCATCGAGAGCAACGCACCACAGCCTGAGTAGTAAACTAACATTCAACAATATTATTCAAAAAATTAAACGTACCTATTATTTATTCATTATTATCCTAGTTTTACCATGCAAGATAAATTTTAGTATATAAACATAAATAGTATTTATATTTGTGTTAAAATTCTAATTCTACGGCACCTTTTGCATCCCATAATCCTACAAGTGCAGACAACTGTTGTAGAATGCACCGAGTGTTCTATAAATTACATACGAGAGAAAATTGCATTGAATAAAGACATAAATTTTAGAAATGACTTGAAGAAATTGAGTCTATTTGTTGCTCTTAAGCTTCCATCTTAAAAATAGAAAGGCGGCAACCCTGAGAGTGATGAAAATTACAACTAAAGCAACAATGTCGATGGTGTAATTAGAATTGACCATATCGAGTTCTTCGAGAGTTGTTTTCGGTGATTTAAAGTGGCAATACTGAGATGAGCAAGTCAGTTTTGGTCTGTTGAAACCGTAAGTTGCTAAGGCCGTTCCTTCAAAACCGTATCTGATGTAGGATAAATATGTTATCCATCTCAAATAAACAGGAATTGCGTCAAAAGACACGAAGAAACCAGAGAACAGAAGGAATGGTACCGACATAACTGGAGCCAAGAATACACCGTTCTGAAAGCAAAATATGTTTCAATCTAATGACTTGGTCTTATACAGGCAATTACAAATTTCATTTCTTCTTCTTAATTTAAAGAAGAGATAAGGTCCATTTTTGAATCCCGACCGGGCCAAAAAAAATATTTTTTTTCCTTTACCGCAAAGAAGCTTCGACTGTTTCCATAAAATATGGTAATATATATTATAATAATTTATTGGCGGAAATTATGCGGTCGTGTGCCACTTATCGTGAGTGAAACATTTTAATTACATTAAACATGAATTAGAAAGAAACCACAAATAATTTAATAATTTTCATTAATGTTAATTGTGAAACAAATGAAATGTTTTCTTTCTAATTTATATTTTGTTAATTTTATAACGAATTTGATCGATTTTTAATAAGAGCGATCATAACGAACAACGAGCCTAGTTTTTATGCAATTTATTTGGAAAATATTTCGATAAAGTTATAAGCCCTTCTTATATAAAAATAAATAAAAAGTCTGGCGTTCTAAATGCCCACAGCCGAAGTGGGAAGTAGGAAAAATTAAATTGTGTAGTGAGGGAAAATCTTTTTATGATTTTATCTATTCCTTATTAGCCCCCTCTTTTCTGTTTAGTACCGTTTCACATCGCAAAAATCAATTGTAGAATCGATAAGCTATTAAAACATCTGCTGGGGACTAAAAATGGGCCTCTTTTATATCGAGGTTCCGATGTTTGGCCAAAGGGTATACCCGGATTTGTATGGTAAATCTGTCCCCACGGTTTTTGCCAATTGCACTTGGGAAATTGATTTGACATTAAATAAAGATAATTCAGCTAATTTTTTTTACCTGAAACAATTTTCCAGATTTTTTAACAAAAACCTCTTTTTTCGATTTTATTATTTTTTTTTTTTTTCAATAGTAAAATTCAAAATTAATGAATGCTGATGTTTTCCTATTCTTAGGAGTAAAAGGGACGAAAAACAGTTTCATTATTAATCTCAAGTGGAAATCAGATGTTTAAGAACAAAAGTAAAACTATAATATTTTTTTACCGTATTATTTTAAAGCGAAAAGGCACAACTTACAAAAATATTTAATAAATTAACAAATGCGTTACGCAAGATTTTGAAAAATAATAATTTTTTAATAACATTCCATTTCAAAAAAAATGATAAAAAAATTCCTGAGTGCGAAGACGAATAATATCAATAGACAGTACGCGTAAATAAGAAACTTGTACTTACTTGGACGTTCATTGCAGCACCCACCACAAGTCCCACACTTTGCGCAACAAAAGAAACCAATAAACAGGCTGCTAAAAACATCCCATACCTTGATAATTCCATGGGTTGATTGGTCATGAAGTAAACAATTGTTACGTACAATACGCAAAATATTGTCTGCAAATATCAGAATATATTACTTTAGTATTTCTTTTCCCACGATTTTTGAATTCTGTTTACCTGAAATGGTATATCAGAAATGGTAATGGCCATGTAATATGACCTCAGAGAGTACCATCGGTTGAAATGTTCCTTAAGTAAGACAGGCATTTCCAGAGGGAATGATAAAATCGTAATAGTCATGGACGTGTACATAAGGAACAACATGTTGAAAAAGAGGAACCCTAAATTACTCAAAACCTTTGCGCCATCGTTACCAATATTGAAATATAAGCCTCCTATCAATATTCCCACCAATATATGAGCAAATAATCGAAGGTACATGAGAGTCTAAAAATAATATAGAAAATAAAATTCGTTTTGTATAAATAGTCAATCTCCTTTTGTTTACGAATGCGTGTATTTGTATACTTTTTTTATACATATTTTGAGGTGCTACTTTTGTTCTTAGATTTTCCGTAGTTTAAAAAATGTGTTTTGCAAAATAATTGTTTCACTAGAATGAATAATTTTCGATAAATCACTAAAATCAGCATATTATGCTACATGTAATCTTATCGTTTTGTGTGTAATACAGTGAATAAATATCAAATGTTATTATCTATCAATAAACTCACTAAAGTATGCTTTAATATTACACAATTCGGTAGCTTTCTAAACCAGAAAGATACTTTGTTACCACAAATTAACATAAATAAAATTCAATCATTTTCATGTGACGTAAAAACATTTTGAAGCTATAATAATTATTGTAAAAGAAACTTACCCAATCTCTTCTGCTGAACAAAAGAGCCCTTTTTAATATAATAAAGAACTGATTCAGTTCCGAATTTCCATATCGTGGTTGTTGTACAATCGTTTCTTCCAGGAGGCTTGTTTCTACATTTGTATTTTTCTCATTTGTTTCCACAGAAAGGGCAGTTTCTAGCGAAACAAAATTTTAAGTGTTTTTTTTATATTAAAACTGAAATAGTGTTTCAAATATTTACCTTGATTTCCTTTTGTTAAATCGGTGACAACACTTTGAAGTAGTAATNGGAAATTATGCGGTCGTGTGCCACTTATCGTGAGTGAAACATTTTAATTACATTAAACATGAATTAGAAAGAAACCACAAATAATTTAATAATTTTCATTAATGTTAATTGTGAAACAAATGAAATGTTTTCTTTCTAATTTATATTTTGTTAATTTTATAACGAATTTGATCGATTTTTAATAAGAGCGATCATAACGAACAACGAGCCTAGTTTTTATGCAATTTATTTGGAAAATATTTCGATAAAGTTATAAGCCCTTCTTATATAAAAATAAATAAAAAGTCTGGCGTTCTAAATGCCCACAGCCGAAGTGGGAAGTAGGAAAAATTAAATTGTGTAGTGAGGGAAAATCTTTTTATGATTTTATCTATTCCTTATTAGCCCCCTCTTTTCTGTTTAGTACCGTTTCACATCGCAAAAATCAATTGTAGAATCGATAACCTATTAAAACATCTGCTGGGGACTAAAAATGGGCCTCTTTTATATCGAGGTTCCGATGTTTGGCCAAAGGGTATACCCGGATTTGTATGGTAAATCTGTCCCCACGGTTTTTGCCAATTGCACTTGGGAAATTGATTTGACATTAAATAAAGATAATTCAGCTAATTTTTTTTACCTGAAACAATTTTCCAGATTTTTTAACAAAAACCTCTTTTTTCGATTTTATTATTTTTTTTTTTTTTCAATAGTAAAATTCAAAATTAATGAATGCTGATTTTTTCCTATTCTTAGGAGTAAAAGGGACGAAAAACAGTTTCATTATTAATCTCAAGTGGAAATCCGATGTTTAAGAACAAAAGTAAAACTATAATATTTTTTTACCGTATTATTTTAAAGCGAAAAGGCACAACTTACAAAAATATTTAATAAATTAACAAATGCGTTACGCAAGATTTTGAAAAATAATAATTTTTTAATAACATTCCATTTCAAAAAAAATGATAAAAAAATTCCTGAGTGCGAAGACGAATAATATCAATAGACAGTACGCGTAAATAAGAAACTTGTACTTACTTGGACGTTCATTGCAGCACCCACCACAAGTCCCACACTTTGCGCAACAAAAGAAACCAATAAACAGGCTGCTAAAAACATCCCATACCTTGATAATTCCATGGGTTGATTGGTCATGAAGTAAACAATTGTTACGTACAATACGCAAAATATTGTCTGCAAATATCAGAATATATTACTTTAGTATTTCTTTTCCCACGATTTTTGAATTCTGTTTACCTGAAATGGTATATCAGAAATGGTAATGGCCATGTAATATGACCTCAGAGAGTACCATCGGTTGAAATGTTCCTTAAGTAAGACAGGCATTTCCAGAGGGAATGATAAAATCGTAATAGTCATGGACGTGTACATAAGGAACAACATGTTGAAAAAGAGGAACCCTAAATTACTCAAAACCTTTGCGCCATCGTTACCAATATTGAAATATAAGCCTCCTATCAATATTCCCACCAATATATGAGCAAATAATCGAAGGTACATGAGAGTCTAAAAATAATATAGAAAATAAAATTCGTTTTGTATAAATAGTCAATCTCCTTTTGTTTACGAATGCGTGTATTTGTATACTTTTTTTATACATATTTTGAGGTGCTACTTTTGTTCTTAGATTTTCCGTAGTTTAAAAAATGTGTTTTGCAAAATAATTGTTTCACTAGAATGAATAATTTTCGATAAATCACTAAAATCAGCATATTATGCTACATGTAATCTTATCGTTTTGTGTGTAATACAGTGAATAAATATCAAATGTTATTATCTATCAATAAACTCACTAAAGTATGCTTTAATATTACACAATTCGGTAGCTTTCTAAACCAGAAAGATACTTTGTTACCACAAATTAACATAAATAAAATTCAATCATTTTCATGTGACGTAAAAACATTTTGAAGCTATAATAATTATTGTAAAAGAAACTTACCCAATCTCTTCTGCTGAACAAAAGAGCCCTTTTTAATATAATAAAGAACTGATTCAGTTCCGAATTTCCATATCGTGGTTGTTGTACAATCGTTTCTTCCAGAAGGCTTGTTTCTACATTTGTATTTTTCTCGTTTGTTTCCACAGAAAGGGCAGTTTCTAGCGAAACAAAATTTTAAGTGTTTTTTTATATTAAAACTGAAATAGTGTTTCAAATATTTACCTTGATTTCCTTTTGTTAAGTCGGTGACAACACTTTGAAGTAGTAATGCATCCTGTTGGAGTAGATTTTTTGAATAATTTTTGCTATCATATTTGTCCAAGTGTTCATTTATAGCCTCGTTCTTATCAACGTTATTCAGTACTACTGTCGATCCTAAAGTTTCGTTTGCATATTTAGTGGCATTGTTCAGAGCTTCCCCGGCTATTTTAATATCTTCAGGGAAAGGTACTCCGTCTCTTATGTTGTTTTTTCCATTGCCTATCGCTCTAACCAATTTCTGTGTATTGTCCCCGTATTCTCCACAAGCAACTTCAATTATGAACGAAGCAGGGTTGTGATATGACGGACACTGCAGACCCAGAGCGGCCAAAAATGGCACCAACTGTTTCGTGGATCCTTGGTAAACGCACTGACCATCGGCTAACGTGTACAGCTGGTCGAACATTTCGAAAAGCCTTGCCGATGGCTGATGGATGGTGCATATTATGGTACGTCCACCTCCTGCCAAGGTTTTCAGGAGATGGATACATTGGAAACACGAAGAACTATCCAAACCACTTGTTGGTTCGTCAAAGAACATAATGGGAGGATTACTGACAAGCTCCAGGGCGATTGAAAGACGTTTCTTTTGGCCACCGGATAATCCACTAGTCATAGTTCTTCTGTGCTCGAAAAGTCCGAGAGTATCCAAGATTTCGCTAATCTATAAACGAATTAATGTGTCACGAATCAGCATGCATTAGTGAGGGAATATTATTTTATAGGTCAAATGAGAAGAAATGAACATTTGACAAGATATTATACATAATAGATATTGCGCATCAACGGAAGAAAGCACTAGTATGAGTGCTGTAGTTTGTTCTCGAAGCATACGCATGCTCTGAAAGTACAATTTTTCCTTATTTTAGGGACGAGAAAGTGCAAGACAATCTCGCTGGTAAAAAACCGCTTTTTTGTTTATTAGAAAAGTATTTTAATATTAAAATCGAAAGGGAAATCCCCGCGGAGAATGGTAAAATCCATTCTCAATACTCGGATGGAAATGTTTTTCCGTCCCCGAAAACACTGAAAACCTTCGTACTTTCGTTAGGAGTATGGTAAAAAATTTATTTTATCAAAAGTATTACAACAAGTTTTGGGTTCAATACGAGCTCACTGAATCTATAATAATGACGCCGGGTACCCGGTGGTGCTGGATAATTTTAGCAGAGAAAAAAGAAAACCCAACAATTTAACTGAAATTAAATGAAACAAGTTTTTGATTACTCATAACTATTTTTGAGACGTTATAAAAATCCAAAATTTTTGACCAAATATAAAACCGAAAAACTAATAGCAAAAGGACGCATTATACGTATTTGCAATTTTACGACATTTAAAGAGGTTTATACTGGAGTAAGAAAATAATCCTTTGTTTCCTCAAAAGGTGACGTGATACCAATAAAGAGATAAAAACATTTAAAACAAACATTCAAAAGTCAATTACTAATCAAATAAAACAGTTTAACAAAACCATTAATCAATTGCGTAAAAGCTTCATTAGTTGATAAATTCCGTCACTAAAAACATGTTTGTCAACAGAGGTAATTTAAAGCAGATTAGGAAATTAAGCAAAGTTCACAAATAATTATGCAAAAGGTAATTAATAAGTAAGGATATTTAACATTTAAACAAGTAAAAATATGAAAACACTTCAATGTTTCAGTTCTTATTTAAATATTACATTATAAAAATTAGTATTTACATATGTAGTTTGAATATTACTTACAATTTCCTCTCTTTCGTTCGATTTTTTATCACCAATTTTCAATTTAGCTGCCACATGCATTGCTTCATCCACTGTTAGATTAGAGTGAAGCTGATTATCTTGCATTATATAAGCGGAAAGTTTGCGAAATTGACTTAGATCTCTTTCATGCCCGTTCATCATAATACTGCCTTGCATTCCTTGCGTTCTGTAAAGGAAAAAATAATTTTCATACTTACAAATTTTGATTCATTTATAAGTTTTAAAAAGTTCTTAAACGGTTTAATAATATGTATAATACTAGGAACATTTTCGACACGACCATTGTATAAAAATTATTCAAAACTAAATGAATTTCAACTTGTTAGTTCAGATTTAAAATATAAATGCAGTGACAAATTCTTCAGCCTCTATTCAACAAGTACAAGGGAGCAAAGTTGGGATGTGAATTATCACGCTGAGCAGCCATAGCGCTTTATTAAAAAATAATTAACATATTTTTTTTCGAAAAGGCAATTGTATGGCCATTTTACTTGTTATTATCCACCTATAACAATCTTATACATAATTGAGCATGACCCAAATTATACGATAACATTTCTACAATCAAAAATTTATATTTGACGTGGGTACATTTTCTGGAATCTTTATAAATTTGCAAGCGGTTCCCAAGTTCTTTTTTACGATGTTCGTCCTTCGATAATAAATTAATGACTTTAAGAATATTTTTAAACGTCTCAACATGACCTTAGCCAATTAACATCCAGAAAATTATTTGATTTCTCTCGAACAGCAATATAATAAGATAATAACTAAATAGAAACCGTAGAATACGCAATAAAATATTGCTAATTTTTTTACTAGCTTGTAACTACTACAACAGTAAAACTTACCTTGACGAATAATGTAGGTACTGGGTGTATGAAAACGTTAGACATTGTAAAAATATGTTATAGGTACCTATTTTGCATTTATTACATGTATTAAATCTCGTGTATATTAAATTAATTGTTGGATATATTTGAAGGAGAAAGAGTAGTTTACACAATTTTTCAATCTATCAATTTGCGAATTCCAAGGTTTTATTTTCTTTGTTCATAGATACATTAAATGTACTAATTCATATACTTTTTTGGATTTATTATGTTTAAAGGCAGTGTATTTTTAAAAATTTTAATTTTGTTGAATGTAATATTTATAGGACGCAGTTGATGATAAACAGCAACATTTTTTTACCTTGACGAATTATTGAACCCATGACAATCGTTTCACTAGACAGTAGTAACTTTATCAAGTAGATTGTTACACTATTCATATAGAAGTAAGGAAAAACGTTCGCTGTANATTTATTATGTTTAAAGGCAGTGTATTTTTAAAAATTTTAATTTTGTTGAATGTAATATTTATAGGACGCAGTTGATGATAAACAGCAACATTTTTCACCTTGACGAATTATATACGCTATTAATGTAGTTTCTTGTAAGAAACCAGAATCTGGGTAATAAAAATGAGAATTTTGTGGAATCGCGTAGAATGTTAAAAAATAACGCCAAACTATAGGTGCCCCGAAACATGTTCTAGAGGTGAAATTTACGACCCGATTTTCAAGGACTGAAAACAACTTCAGTACTCTTTATTTTAATAGCTGACCTCGTCAAAGGTAATATACTTACAAAAAGTCTTTTATGATACAGTTGCTGTAGACTTCTACTTATGTGCGTAATTAATTTTACAAGAAGTCAAATGTAATTACGTCATTTATCTGTAAAATTCAACATTTTGAAATACAACTGAGCAATTGAGAAAGTTGTGTTATTTTAGTTAACAGATTATCATGTGTCGCATTTAGTATTAGGGTAGTTGTCGTTTAGCTAAATTGTGGGAACAAAGGAGGTTGTTTAAAAAGAAATAGCTTTGATTACACCATTTAGTAGAGGAAGAATGAAGGTTGGATAATAGAATGTAATAAACATTATAATCTTCTATAACTTGAACTTCCATAACCCGAAATCTTTTCTAACTGGAATATTTTTTTGTTTCCTTGACATACTGACATACATATTGTTTAGCATTTATTCCAAACCCTTTATTATTGCGAATTTCTCCATTTCTCTACGTCAGAAACTTTTCTAACTAGAGATTCGATTACGAGTTTTACAATATGATTTCTTTTTAATTCGAATTCCTAGTAATATTCTTCAATTACTCGAAATTTAATGTTTCTTATGGTTGTACATTGATAGAAACAGTGCTAAACTGACCTTTTCTGGTCTTAAAGTTAAGCGTCAGTGTCAGACATCAGTTTAAAAAAAAAATAAATTTCAAGATTTTCCACACTTTTATTTAACTTTAGAAAGTAACAATTATTGTTTCCCCACTCTGGGCTTCCTTGAACTTCAAGTGCTTACTACTAACGTTACAACCTTTAATGTATTGTATTTATATACAATGTTAGCAGGGGTAGCTCAGAACAAATTTAAAAATGAAGAATTATTACATTCTGTTTGGTCGTTTAGCAATATACCTAATTTTTTTTTATTTATTTATTTCCAAATTTCATTTGGTCTCTAAATGTAAAATATCAAATTTACTATTAAACAAATGTCCTTCTTCGTGACTTGATTTGCATAGGTAAAATTTGTCTTGTATTTAATGTAACTGTTAGTATTTTTTTGAAATTTCTCCTAGTTTGTCCTATTTAAACTTTTGGTAAGACCCAGGACAAACTGGAAGAAGAAAAATTAGCAGAGCATAAAACAGTTGCATTAAAAACAAGACAGATTCTACTTACGCCTATCTTTCAAATAAAAGTTTGTGAAAATCTTGAAGTTTATTTTTATTTTGATATAAATTTTCATCAAGTATCTAAAGGTCGAATCTATTCAAGACATCAGTCTCTCACAAATACGTTTTTATTATTGCAATTGTAATGTGCGTTGTACATCCATATAAAAGTATTGAACATTATAACAATTTATGTTGATTATCATTTGTTAATAATTTTAAGAGCAAATCATTTCTTAAATTGGAAAAAAATTGTTTATGTTTGCATTCGTTAAAATCCGAAAAACAACCTTCAACGTGCTAATTCTTTGCTTCAAAAAATATCAAAATTCACACTTCGGTGTTAGAAATAATAATGTTCACGTTTTGTAAAGTAAAGTTGAACATATTTTCTTTTTGGTATAAGGTTTTACGTAAAGGTGACTAGTATGGTAAAAACAACGAATTAAAATTGTAAATTTTTGCAATATATTTTGAACCCATGACAATCGTTTCACTAGACAGTAGTAACTTTATCAAGTAGATTGTTACACTATTCATATAGAAGTAAGGAAAAACGTTCGCTGTACAAAAAAATTACACATATCTTTGTCGGTATTTCTTTTCCTTTTATACCCCCCAAGAGCGAAAGTGCATACATGGTGAATGTGTGGAATATATTTTTTTAACCACATCTATGTATCTGCTTCTCCGAAAACTGTCTTAAACTAACCGAACTCTTAAAATGTTTGGAGATACGAATTTGGCTGTACCGTGTCATATTTTTTAAAACATGATGCCACCCCTTGATCCCTACATTTGGTTCTCAATAATATAAAATTTATAGATGTTGAGTCAGTAAGTAACCCTACCAAAAATGAGATAAACAAAAATTTAAACAGCAAGGACATGTGGTGGAATTGGAACCATATCATTGGAGTGTTATTTTCAAGCTTCAAAATATGTGTTCGCTATTGTTTTACATTATAGAAATTTGAAAATAATTCATTGGTATAAGCGTGAAATGTAAATTATATGCAGTGATCTCAATGTAAAATAGACCACACGCGATTTATATTAAGTTATTATCCCGTGATCAATAATATTTCCACTTCTACAAAACATAACATTTTTGTTTTCATTTAGTCAAACTAAATTAAAATTTTTTATGTTCATGTTTTTGTAGCAATGAAATTTGTATTTTTTCTGATGATTAAATTAACGTATCAAACATATCTTTTTTGAGAATGTATTGATAGAAAATAGAAGACATGTACTGTACCCTATCTTAGGAAGTGAAAATTTTCATAATTTTCATTTATGTAATTGGTGAAAATACGAACAGCAGGAAATAGTTTTATTGGCCACTCGTAAATGTAAAAGTTCAAACATAAACTTCTATATTACGTGATGTGATTGTAAATTTACTAATGATATCTGACTTGAATATACACGTGTCAATGACACATATGAGGTCGACCGGGGAATGTTTTTCGTCGTTTGTCATTATCAAATTACATGACGTTTATAACATTTGGCTTTTAATTTTGAAAAATATTGAAAGTGCAAAAATATATTCTCACAATAAACACACGGTATCAAAATATTGAACATTTCCTGTATATAAATAAAACGAAAAAATCCTCAGCGATGTTACTTTTGTTTTCTTAATTTATTTGAAAAAATGCAATTAAAGTTGAGTGACCTAGCAAAATCCGCAAGTACATTACTTTCGAAGTTGACTATACGTTCGTCAACGTAGTAATTCGCTTTGATATCTAATAATTAACCTTCGACCAATCCATTATTACTGTCGTCAAAACTGAACTTTGTATCTGCACAATCGAATACACTTTGTACAAAATATCTCAAAATGGAGTTAAACATAGCGAACCTTGTACAGGTAATGGAATTTGGAAGTTCTGAACGATGGATGTAGTAGGTGTCTGTCAATAAATATATAAAAAGTAGGAAGAAAAACAATATCTATTTCCGAAATGTTTGTAATTAATTTTACTGACAGTCGTTTTTATTTTTAGTTGTACAGAGTAATGATTCTGCATTGACTATGACGGAAAATCAAATTAAACTTTATCATCTTTTTTAACCTACGAAATAACCTTGAAAACTTGCATTTACATATTTTTCCAATTAAATTCTTTGATTTTAAAAATATGCACAAAACTAAGCGAAAAATTATAACTGGATTTCTTCTTTGAAAAAAATAATGAAGTTTTGTGACCAAATATCGTTTAATATTTCAGTAAAAGTTTACCAAAAGCTGCTCCTATTTATACACTACATATAAAATATTTCATACATTTTGATAGAAACAATAACTTAACAATTATATCAAGTAAATATAATGAACACTTACTTATATCCTGTAAGGATGTTCAATAAGGTCGATTTTCCTGCTCCGGAAGGGCCCATAATGGCTGTCAATTCGCCAGATTTTAATTGGCCACTTACGGATTTTAAAATCGTTTTTACATCTGAAACAAATAAAATACATTTGTGGTGATCATGGGGTTAATTAATTCTGCTTATAATAAATGAAATTTTAATAACGTCATAACTATATAATAACCAAACTAATTGCGATTTGTTTTTTAAGAATATTACTCTATGACATCGTAACGTACAAGAAAATCAGTCTAATAAATGCCATTTAAAGCTTTTAGTGAGTGTTACGGTTTGCTTAAAAAAAATTACAAGTTGTTCGGTCGTTTTAAGACAGCTTTCAGAGAAAACTTGGTGAAAAAAAATTATATTTCACACATTCACCAAATTATGCATTTTCAGTTCATGTGATATAAAAATATATAGGTACCTATCTTGCATTTATTACATATACTAAATCTCGTGTACATTAAGTTAATTGTTGGATATATTTGAAGGAGAAAGAGTAGTTTACACAATTTTTTAATCTTTCAATTTGCGAATTCCAAGGTTTTATTTTCTTCGTTCATAGATACATTAAATGTACTAATTCATATACTTTTTTGGATTTATTGTTTAAAGGCGGTGTATTTTTGAAAATTTTAATCTTGTTAAATGTAATATTTATAGGACGCTGTTGATGATGAACAGCAACATTTTTTTACCTTGACGAATTATATATGCTGTTAATGTCGTCGTTTCTTGTAAGAAACCATAATCTGGGTAATAAAAATGAGAATTTTGTGGAATCGCGTGGAAAAAAACAACTTCGATACTTTTTATTTTGCATTTTCAATTTGTATTTTCGGTGCCCGTTTTATCTTACAATTATGTAGTTGTGTCTTAATTTACAGTTTCGTCATTTTTTTCAATCAGTGCCTTACATAATTTCTTAATTCGTTTACAGTATTCTTGATTACCAATTTATTAATCATAAATTTTACCAACTGTTTGTTTTCCTTCGTATTCGTGACATAAAAATGAAACATACATACATATTTTATTATTAACATGTAATCAAACATATAAACAAACTACTGTTACTGTAATAAAGGCACTGTAAATCATAATAAAACGAAGAATAAAAATTAACACGATGTACCTACAAACTCCTTGTTTTGTTGACATGTTCGGTACAACGACTTCAAAGATAGTATACATCAGTATCAGTTATCAGTAAAAAAAATGCATAATAATACAAATAAATTAAACGGGGCAATCCTAACGAAGGTATGCTTTGAAAACTTCAACGCATATTTTTATCTTTTTTATCTCAAAGAAGCATTTTACAATTTTTTTTTCTAATTATCTTTTGTTTTCGTAAGTTTCTATTTAGTTTTAAATTGAACAACCTCCTTTATAATTTCTGGATTCATTATTTTAGCTGATATAATAATGTAACAATTTGCTGCTAGTTCTATTGAATTATAAGAAAAAACAGTAACTGGTTTTCAGGATTTAATTAAATAATAATTAAAATAAGACGTTTTTTAGTATCGTTTTACAGCTTTTCAAAGATTGTTAAATTAAAATTACAGATACCTAATGCTTTACATGACAAAGAAATAGACTTGTTTGACAGTAATAAAAACATTTTGAAGTAATAAACTTTTTCAATTAAGATATATAAATCATTTTTATAAGAATATTGAAAATTACGCCGATTCATATTTATAAAAATGTTAAGATGTAAATTTTACAAATCAAAAACATTTTTGATTTATTAACCAGTATCTACGTTAAATAACTATATGCAACAGCCTGAGTTACACTATTAAATAAATTAGTTTTGCACCAACAATAGAATAACTGATTCTACCAGACTCATTTGCAAAATCTTATTTAATGGATCTGTCAAAAATTAGCATTACATACCTATATACTAAAAATCAAGTGAAAAATTAAAAGTTTGGTAAAGGTCTAGATGATGGCCATCACCCCCTTCGGGGGTGGGGGTGGGTGGGATCGAAAGAGGAGGTCTCCCCCACCACTGTACCATAAAAATTTCGTGGCGGTCTCACCCCCATAAAAAGTTATGGGGATTGAAAGTTTGATAATTTTGACAATTTTCATACACTATAATTCAAATAAAATTCAATAAAAAATATATTTTCAAGCGGGTGGAGGTGGGGGATCGAAAGAAGGTGGTCACTTGAACAAAACCCGATAACCTAACCTAACCTACCCTATTGATAAAGATATTTAAATAATGTTTTATATAACTTTCTCAATATTTTTAT